AGTACACGTGTAAGTATTGCAGTAAACTTGTATGAAAGAAATATGAAGTTAGTACATGTGTAAGTACAGCGGTAAACACGTATGAAAGTAATTTGAAGTTTAGTACACGTGTAAGTACAGCGGTAAACACGTATGAAAGTAATTTGAAGTTTAGTACACGTGTAAGTGTCGCAGTAAACACGTCTGAAAGTAATTTGAAGTTTAGTACGCGTGTAAGTACAGCTGTAAACACGTATTAAAGTAATTTGAAGTTTGGTACACGTGTAAGTATCGCAGTAAACACGTTTGAAAGTAATTTGAAGTTTAGTACACGTGTAAGTATTGCAGTAAACACGTATGAAAGTAATTTGAAGTTTAGTACACGTGTAAGTACAGCAGTAAACACGTATGAAAGTAATTTGAAGTTTAGTACACGTGTAAGTACAGCGGTAAACACCTGTGAAAATATTCTAACTTGTGGCCGCGGGGGCGAATGCGCCGCCAGTTCGAGTGCGACTCTCGCTTGAGCAACAACGTGTGATGGCAACGCCTGCCTTACTTCTTACGCTGCTGGTGGCAGCCTCGTCTGCCACTGCAACGGTACGAAATACAGACTGTTATATTCATAAATATATGTGTTGTTTTCTGTGTTTATTATTAAGACATGTTATGGGTTAATTTTATTTAACTATCGATGTGCCATGAGCGTTTTATATATAACTTTGATTCGCCTCTAAAATTTTGTTTCATTAGGTTGTTAGCTACGGAGAAGAGCTGAGCAAGAATTTGTTGATTTTTTTCAATAATTATGTAACCGCCTAAATGTTAGTGAATAATTATTTCTAATTATTCTTCAATTCAATTCACGGATATAGTGAATATTCAGTTCACGAATTTCGTGAGTAATCAGTTCACGAATTTCGTGAATATTCACTTCACGAATTTTGTGTATATTCAATTCACGAATTTCGCATCAAAAAATTTTTAGTATCGAATTTATTTACATTCTGAGAAATTATCGTGCAGATAAATTCTGAATCTACTTAGCTTCCCACACTATATGATTATCGATAGGTTATACTATTTTAATAAATTTCCTCACCGATCACCATATGTTTATCCAATGATTGCATAGTTGTGAAAAATTCCTTTGATAACAAAATTTTCTTGTGCCTGTCCCTCAGGAACTGACCTCTCCTCTTAATTTGAAGTTTAGTACACGTGTAAGTACAGCGGTAAACACCTGTGAAAATATTCTAACTTGTGGCTGCGGGGGCGAATGCGCCGCCAGTTCGGTAATGAAACAAAGCAGATAATGAAACAGGGCGGGTAATGAAACAGGGCGGGTAATGAAACAGGGCAGGAAATGAAACAGGGTGGATAACAAAACAGAACGGGTAATGAAGTAGAGCGGGTAATGAAACAAAGCAGATAATGAAACAGGGCTGGTAATGAAATAGAGCAGGTAATGAAACAGGGCGGGTAATGAAACAGGGCGGGTAATGAAACAGAGTATGTAATGAAACACAGCGGGTAATGAAACACTGCGGATGGTAAATCAAGGAGTGTAATGTTAACGAAGATCAAGTCTGCGGTGTTTTGGGCCACAATTTAACTATCAATGGAAGTTGGGCCATCGTTAAACTAAACAAAAAACGTAAATCCTCTGAAGGAATGAAAAAGAGAAGGACTAAAGTAAAACGATTTAATTCCTGACATTCCTAACGGTCATATGGTGATTATCATTTTAGAACATTGTCAATAAATTAATCGCCGTAGCAGGCTACTAAAATTGACAGATAAGAGTCAATTACGTGAATATAAAAGTCAAATTCACCATAATGATTTTCTTTCAAACTGTTTTCCTTCATAAAAATATACTTCAAAACTGCCTAATGTGGCCTGGAAAAGTCTTTATTTAAATATCATGTCCCTGCACCAAGTCTAGGTTTCATCAATCGGAGAGCAACGACTCTTCTTTGTTCTGAACAATGAACAATTATTTTTATTAAATTAAATGCGACAAGTTACTGAGCCTCGTGAAGTTCTGCTGCCGAGCTCACCGATGACCTGGAAGAAAGATGCACACCATTTTTTTCCAGGAAAAATTTAACTATCAATTTATCAAGCATTCTGATTGAAATGAATTGAATATTAATTACAAATTTTACTTGATGAATCATAAGGCGATTCAGTATTGAATATGTGTTAGACGAGCTACATTTCGCACTTGTTGATTACAATTCCATTTCTTACATTTCCGAGATGAAAAATTATGTTATTTATATTCTAGTTACAAGCGGATTCAAAACTTCATCCCCCTTATCTAGCTTATATATCTACTGAGTGTAATTTGAAAGTGGATAAAAAGCTGTCAAGCGACATAAATAATGTGATCAATAAATTAGATAACTTTAATGACGGAAAATTAACTTCACTCTCAATCTGCTCATTTTGCTCAAAGTCTTTTTCATAGCCATCCAAAATTGGATTGATGTAAAAGGTATACGCGAACAACCTTGCACTCTTCGAGTGCATTATATTTACCTATCGCATTACCAAAATGTAAACCTTGTGAGAATTATTTTTACCTCTGAATACAGGATTAAAGTAAAAAAAATAAAAATTACCTTCTCTCTTAGGTAATTTAGTCTCCCTTTGCATCAGCTGAACGCATACCCTGTCTGGATTATTTTTACCGATGCATCATTGGACGGGATTAAAAAACAGCAAAACAGCAAAACAGCAAAACAACAATAAAGTAACTTTTTTATCCCATATTTTTAGCTCTTATTTTATCATTTATTTTATTTCATTTTTAAATCTCCGATTTTTATCTTCTATTTTCATCTCTTATTTTTATCTCCTATTTTAATTTCTTATATTTATCTTCTATTTTTATCTCTAGGCATTTTTAACTGCTATTGCATCAGGAAAATGCAGGCCTTGTCATTGACGTGTGCATCATCTGTTCACTATTTATATTCCCTATTTTATCTCTTATTTTCATCTTTTATTTTTATCTCCTATTTTTATCTCTTATTTCCATCTGCTATTGCATCACTAAAATGCAGGCCTTGTCGTTGACGTATGACTGACCATTTCAGCTGGATAGTAAGTATTCTTATTTTAAGTAATTTATCCTTATCCTACACTTAAGTTTAGCTTGTCCATGACTGACCATTCCAGCTGGGTAGTAAGTATTCTTATTTTAAGTAATTTATTCTTATTCTACACTTATGTATAGTATAGCTTGTCCATGACTGACCATTCCAGCTGGGTAGTTAGTACTCTTATTTTAAGTAATTTATTCTTATCCTACACTTATGTATAGTATAGCTTGTCCATGACTAACCATTTGAGCTGGGTAGTAAGTATTCTTATTTTAAGTAATTTATTCTTATCCTACACTTAAATGTAGCTTGTCCATGACTAACCATTTGAGCTGGGTAGTAAGTATTCTTATTTTAAGTAATTTATTCTTATCCTACACTTAAATATAGCTTATCCATGACTGACCATTTGAGCTGGGTAGTAAGTATAGTCCCAATACCACTTCTGCTTCTTTAAAGGACCCGGCACGAGGTGATGGGACGGAGGATATGGGAAGAAGCGACCTCTGCCGCGCTCGTCTCGAGAGTCCCCGGCTAGGACACCAACTCTGGTCAGGCATTTACCTGCAGCAAACTTCATTAATGAAAAATATAACTCAGTACTCACTGCAGTGAGTGACAGAGAGCGCATTTTCTCGTCGACGAAAACGTGAAGTCACGGACGGACGGACAGACAGACGNAGACGGACAGACGGACGGACGGACATGGCGAGCACAATAGCGCCTTTTTTTCATATATGAGAAAATGCGCCAAAAACTGTAGGAGGAAATGCGCTAAAAACTATCGAAAATGCAAACACTAGGATTAACGTAGATTTACTTCTTAAATTGTTATAGCCTTTATATCACAAATAATAAAAATGGATTCAAATTTCTTCCGGAAACTATCGGAGAATCATCAACCATACATATAGTAAGATCATGAATTATTTAGTGTTTAAAGCCCACCGAAATACTAAGAATTTCTTAGATAAACATCAACTACCAGTTTAATATCAAATCGTGAATCTGTTGGCTGATACCTGCTAGTTCTCTCTGAATTTAAATTTAAAACTAATAATAAAACCTGATATCAGATTTCGTAACAACGCGTCCAAATCAACGATGTCACGTCCCAACTTGTTGATCAAATCTTGGCGCCCTGACCACTCAACAAATAAACAATAATTTGCTCATTACCTCATTTTTCTTAAGAAACTAAAGTAGATGCCTCAATGCGGTAATAAAAAATTAAAATAACTATGAGTATAGTGGGAAAAGCGACTATGAGTTTTTATTTGCAAGGATAAAATATACGCAGGTCAAAATCATAAACTGGAGTTAACAATTCAAGTAACGAACCAATTTCGACGTCTTCAGCGCTCGTGTCATCAGTATCTCTGCATTTCTTAGAGCCGGGAAGTGCTTCTTCGACGAATTTTTTAACCGCTGTGCGGCTGAGAACGTAGCCGGCACCTGCAGTGGCATCGTACTAATTAACTGATTGAATTTGCCTCGGGAAGATGATTACTAAAAAAGCATTTTGAAAATATTCCACTTACTAATTAAATAAAATACTAAAATAGAAAAAATATCTGAACATTCATTGAGCCCCTGATAGGTGGGAAATTTCATGTAAGAAGATCAACAATAGATGGCTTATATATTAGGTGAGACGAAAACATACGATCATTATCCCACGGAGTGAAACGAAACGAACACCACGCAAAACGGAGTGAAACGAAAATAAAGGCGACGAAGGAATTTTTGAAGATAAATACGAAAAACCCTTCATCAGGAAGGACTTGTAGTAAGGTTTATTCGTGTCGTATCTGGTGCCGCGAAACGGTGAAGCGGGAATCATGAAATATTTTTTATTTTTTTTAAGAGCCTGCGGCTTGTGGATGAGCTAGGCGTGTGAGATGTCGCTTTCACCCAACAGAGGGTTGGTTGTTATTATTCCCACGTTTTATCTTCTCTTCGCTTCGTGTTCGTCTGTCTGTCTGTCATCAAAAATTCAAACCTTAATTTAGAGCTCTTCTGAAGAATTCCAGAAACTCTTGAAATTTGGTATGCATGCTTATGCTCCCTAACAATTCAAGATTTGATCATCAGAATAACTTTATAGTTAGAAATCGTTAAATTAATTAACTGACTTTTTATGGAGAGAAAAAATTTACGGTTGGGAATCGAGTTTTCCAGGTAGATTTTTTTAGGTATAATCGAAGTATAGAACTGGAAAGTAGATAATAAATAAATATAAAACAACATATGAAAAAACATTTTTTCTGGTGGTTACACAACTAAAAACAATGCAATAAAACAAATAAAAAATCTTTTAAAAGCCACGTTTTCTTAACGGACAAAAAATAAACATTAACTTTTTCAGTGAGTTGTCCTAGATTTTATTCTTGATCTAAAATGAAGTCTATAGTTTATTTTTTTCAAATCTTATGCCGAGAATACACAAAAAAACGTGAGACATCACTGTGAAGATCTAAATATCATATATTTGAGCAGCTACAGATTGAGTATTATGAATAGAACTTGGGTAATGGATGTGTCTTACAGCCCGCCCCACGTTTTTTTTGTGATTTCTCAGTAAGATTTGAAAAAATATTTAGATATAAAGATATGCTCCCTGTTCATTTAGATTCTACGAACTGACGATGGAGCTGGACTCCGAAACGTTTTCTATAAAGATATGAATTTTTGTGGACTATTCTTTGCTTTTACATTTTTAGTCAACTTGCGATTTAAGCAAATAAGTGACATTAATACTTTCATATTTATTCTGTGGGCAAGCGTGCTTTTGAATAGAGAGCCTATGAAAGCAATGGTTTAGAGCCATAAAGTTAAGGGCTGAGAGCCGTAAACTCAAATTAGTATAGTTATCTGAAACAATGCAGTCTCGTGCTGGTCAAATTTTTCCTGCTTTTTCTCTAAGATATATAGTAGTGGATAGAGCCACACAACTTTAATTTATTTTTCTCTGGTTGAATTCCTTGCAAGTTGAAAAAGTTACTTAATTATTTATTCACCTGCTTGAGTACCAATAGTTCGGAATTCGTGTATGGAAATAGGATATGTTATGAAACTTACTAAGTAAAAATTTGTCGTTATCAGCATTTCGAATCACAAAACATTTTTTTAAATTCAACCTAAATATCTTGAATGCTCAATGTTTAGCCCGCCGTTTATAGTTTGGCCCAACATATTCTCCTGAATATTTTGTTTAAAATTTAAATTGTTTCATGTCACGATATGGTAAAAAATTGGTAAAATGAAGAGATTTGAGGAATGGAAATGGAAAAAATGGAAAATGTACAATTTTACCTGACGTTCAAACGCAACACTAGCTGGGGCTAGCGAATGACTGCGTCTATCAAAAATTCAGTTTACTGTGAACACAATGAACGTTAATTGCATTAACCTAGCCATGGAAGCTACGATTCTTTCTAAAACCATCTCGCAATTTTTTTTAAGGTGGAATACAGCTTTCAAATACAGGAAATTAAGACAAAAGAGTCTGACAGGATACTCGAGTTAAGTCGCTCTGGAATATTCGAAAAAACAGTCCTAGTAATAGGGAATGTCCTAGTAATAGGGAAAAAACTGTCCTAGTAATAGTAATGTCCTCCTAATTTAATTTATTTTTATTTTATTTTGTGATCAATTATTTACCACATATTTACATAAAGACCATCCAAATAAAAATGTACAATGCAGATAAGTATGGTCCTCTGATAATTAATAATAAACTTTTGTTATAAAGCGCAACATGATTGAACTTCTGCTTAAAAACGATGGGGTAAAATTTTGTGGTAGAAATCCCAGGGAATTACTCACTAAATGGCATCTTGCAGAGCAGCCGTTGGAAGTAAAGTTCTTCTGTTATGCTGCGGTAGATTCAATTAGTGGATTACAAAAAATGTTGAATATCCAAGAAATCAAAAGAATCAGTGCAAATCAACAGGTGACAACAAACTACATTCACACCTCATGCCTCATGGATCACCGAATTAACCCTTTGGTCTCAGATACATTTACCGTCATCAATGTTATTCGTACCTAGTGGCTTGGGACCGGAAATCCCGTCGTTACGAAATGGTATTAGAACAATGAGTCTTTTTTAAACGTTTTGTCGAACACCTGTTGAACATACAATTAAAACTCATTTGAGCACTTGCACATTTCTGTAAGCGAGCAGTTATAGATGACATCAATCACTCGCGTCTCTATATTATATGTACAAGGAGTAGCTTTTTAAATTAGTTAATAAGCATTTAAGAGTAATAATTGACAATTCATTTGAATAAAGCTATTCATTTTTGCATGCCTGAGAACCATCATGGGATCGTCCTCGTGATTACTGGCACAAAGTTTTACTTAACTTAATTTTGTCTAAAAATGAGCTGTAAATTTCAAAATTCGCTTAATTTTCCAGTCAAACATCAAGCAACGTCGAATGTCTCAATATAACGAATATCACGAATGATTGTAATTCATAGAATTTTATTCATCTAAAAATCAGCATTCAGCGTGGTAAAACTTTGTTTTAGATACGTATAAGCTGTTTGTATGAATAAAGAACTTATAGCATCATTTATTATTATGTTTTTGAATGCTGGTAGTGCAGGGGTTTTAATTTAATGGACCGCAAGTACACTTGAATTTCATGAACGAAATTGGTCAAATATTTAAAATTTTGACTTATGTTTAGAAAACAAAACTTTTGTTTATAAAGAAAACTTTCGTTTAGACTTTTGCGACTTTTCTTTAGAAAGCTTAGTGCCGTAGATAGTAAGGCATACGCATAAGTAAGCTTTTTTCGTGACATAATCCTATGTGAAACACACCCGCGCTTCTGTGTATATTGACCTGCAATGAGTAACTAGAACTTGAATATCATAACATTATTTCACAAGTTTACCAAGAACTTAAACGCAAATTAAAGAAATGTTAAATAATTTCACCATATCACCATTGCAAGCGTTTCAAATACGAGATCCATTATCTCACAATGCCAATACATTGCCTAAAGACCCGAATCAATGTCTATGTAACTTGCAATGATGGAATCCATGCCACTGTATATTTTGCACACTAGTTAGCAAAAATTCAGCTGAACATAACATATGAATATATAAAAAATAAAAAGTTTTAACGTTTATCTCGGATACTCGGTCGCAGGACAGACGTGGTTGGCGAATTAGGCTTCTTTAATGTTGCAAACCTGAAAAAATGGATTAACATTCCGAACTAATTATTTAACACGAACCAAAGTTAACACCAACTGGTTGGTATCTGAACATGGTAAACATGCATAATAAATTACAATAATGCAATGGTGATCTAACTATCACAGTTTGACAATTACGAGGTAGGGGGAGCTACGTGCTCAGTTCATGTCGATCACAATGAGACTGCAGTTGAACGAGCAATATATTGATAAATAGAGATAGAGCTGAATTCCTTATCTGCAGGAGTATACCGGCTCAATATTCTTGTGCCTGAATTATTTATCTCACAATGTTAATTATATATCTTTCCTATTTATAATAATCACGACCAATTAAGAATTTCATCATAATCCGCTAATTAGCTGCGTAATGTGTATAACCCAAACAAAATAAAATCTTACAGGAGTCATCAAAGTTACAAGTATACAGAAGATAATTATTTTCCTACCACTCGGTTAATAAGAAACACTTGACCTTTATTGGTGAGCCATCCAATGCATAAACACTGGTTCTTAGCTACAGTGTTTATTCAATTTAGCTTCAATTCTACCTTTTCCTGTGCAAAAAAACTAGTATCTTATTCAAACTGTTTATTTTTATCGTGCAATCATTTCATTACTCCAACATAAATTTCATTACTTATTCTTATAGTTTCCTTCCAGTTTCTATCCTTTTCCTTGCTTCTTCGCAAAATTTGCTTTCTTCTTTAATTCTCTTCATTATCTGCTCAAAACATTTCTTTCCCGTCCAAATTCTCCAGTTCCTCATTTCAAAACATTGGTCTTGCCTCTCCTATCCTTCTTTCTGCCTCTCCCAGACGACGCCTCGTCCTAACGCTTAAATAAGGGGAGTGATTGGGTCAAAACTCGAAAAATATGGCTTTTCCATTTATAGGCTCATTTTTTAGATGCGAAAAAGCCGCGTCTAACACAAAATACCGTTTGTATGAGCGTGCTTTACTTTTTGCTGCGGCAGTTTCTAATTTAGACAAAATTACCGTTTTATGATAATTTAAAAAAAATTAAGAAAAATTGCATTTATAGATTAATATTCGCGTTAAATCGGACAACATTAAGAATGATGGTATCCTCAAAACGACTTACGGGCAAAGTTAAGCTGGAGGTACAGAATCAAGCAATTAATTTAGCACTTACTTATTTTCATTCAATTTTACTAATTTGGCTCTATAATGAACAATCTAAATTTCCAAAATACGCCATCTTAAAAATTCATCTCCTCCTATGATTTTTGAGCTACAACATTGATAGACATTTCATCCGATTCGTAAAGAGAATATCTAGAGACTCTGGAACTTTTTTTTTTCCTCTCAGAATCTCAAATTTCAATGAATAATCGCGCGTTTTTATCGCATTCATTGATCGGTTTTAGGTAGAAAAACACGCCACTACCTTCATAATGGACCCTTAACATACATCACGTAAGCATTTTGGATCAGCCGCGGACTTTATCTGCATCACCTCGTACATCTTATACAGGCAGCAAATACACGGCATGAAGCATGGCACGCGGTCTGATGTGTTAACGCTTATGATAGTGACTGCCTCCACATCGTGGGTTCTGTCGGAGATCATCCTGGACATCAGGGAAGTGCAGTTGATGGACCTGGCATCTTGTTCAAAACGAATTATTAACCAGCCAGTTCCGCTTTCGGTTATATGACTCAGCTGTGTTACATTGAGATTTGGGAGCTGTATGGCTTACAGCAGCCTCTGGATGTTCAGTATCATTGCTTAATAATATATATTACGATGTTGTGCAACATATCGTCTACTCACAAAATATCACAACACATCACGCGCAAACTGAAGACTATTGTGCTGACTAGGGTCCATTATTACACAATATTATTTCAGTGTTTCTCCCCCGATCGTTCGAAGTTGTAGCACTGGACATGTTTTCATGACGGGTGAAAATGAGGCTAAAAATAATTTCATCACGCCTTTACTGATGCTCATTGTGATATCCTGAATCTATGGGATGTTGTTTAAATGATTATGCAAATATTTCGATAAATGGGGTACAGATAGAAAAACCCTGATATTCTCGAGTACCAAGAGAACATGGTTCTTATGTACTAGGAAAATGCCACTTAGAAAAAAAGTTCGTATTAATGTATGGATCCTCGAAGAAATTTAGTCATACATCATACAAACTTATTGTAAACATAATTTTATTGTATCAGGGACACCCTTTTAAATTTATTTATTTGTGTAGTTACATGTGAGCCGAATGGTATTTTTATTAGATTTTTAGAATATTAACCCTTCTGTTTGTTGTCGGATATTTTGAGATCCTTCTGTCAATTTACGTGCCTTCTTTCCTCAGATGATACAGTTCACCGTACCCTGCACATCAGGAGTCCTTAAGCCATCCGAGTTGAATGGTATATCATCAGGGCTGGTTGTCTGAAAAAAAAGAGAAGTTGATGAAGCGGGTTTTAGAATGACACATAGAATGGCATTCTTATCAATATTTCACTAATGCTATTGTAGCAATGTAAACGCCATATTTTATGTACAAGGAATATGCCACGGACTGACGCAGGATAAATTACCAGCAGGGCCCATGCTTTCAAAAAAAGTTAAGAGATCATAAGTTCATCAGCCTATCATTGACGGCCTTTCAAGCCAAATCCACCAATCATAGACAAGAAAATAGAGCGTAAGTACTTACGTACACTTAGCGAGTTTAGAAAGTATGGCCTGGTCACATAAATTTGATACGACTTACGAAACTCCGTAAGATGCACCCGTTGATGATGCAGTCGCCGTTGCGGTCGAGTTTTTGGCACTTGCTACAGGTGCGCGGCGGAGGGATCACGCGTGTTTCGCAATTCCACCCCACCGGCATCGGCAAAGCCAATGCCATCGATGCAACAAGGAGCACTAGAAATATTTTCAACAAATACATTGTAGGCATGTACCATAACTAGTCACCGATGAAATGGTTACTCTTTGTTTGCAGTGTCTGTCCTTGGGTGTTATTCTCTCACCATCTGTGAACCTGTAAAAAATTCAGTTTGTTAATGCATATTAATTGAATGCGTATAAAATTATGAGAGAAAAATGGTAAATTCGTTAATCTCATTCAATTTAATTGCTGAATGTGCTGAGCAATTAAAATTTAAGTGAATGTGACTAAGAAAAGTTATATTACGAATTTACCTAAAACGTTTGAAACGTAATTTGTTTAAATCTCTTATGGAATTATCTGTTTTAAACTCTTTTTTCATATTTGCTAACAAGCTTTACCGACAGATTGACGGTTTGGGTATGGGTCTTCCACTCGGCCCAACCTTTGCAAATATTTTTATGTGTTTTCACGAGGTGTCCTGGCTGTCCAATTGCCCTCTTGATTTTAAGCCAATATTCTACAACAGATACGTTGATGACACTTTCTTACTTTTTAAGCATCCTTCTCACGTTAAACTCTTTTTCGATTACCTAAATTCGCAGCATAAATCCATCAAATTTACCATGGAACTGGAATCTAACAATAGCCTATCCTTCCTCGATTGCAATATTACTAAATCTAATGGCCGTTTTCAAACTTCTGTATTCCGAAAATCGACTTTCACAGGTCTCAGTACCAGCATTTTTAGCTTTTGCTCGTTTCGATTTAAGATTAATGGGATTCAAACACTTTTACATCGGGGTTTTTGAATTTGTTCTACTTACAATATTCTGCACGCTGAATTCGAATTTTTACGCAATATTTTTTCGCCTAATGGATTTCCGACTAATCTGGTGTTTACCCAAATAAAGAAATTCATGTCCAAGCGGTACAATGAGGTTGCCCCCGAGCGCGACAGTAGGTCTTTCTGATAAAAAAATATCAATAATTTCACGGAGTTGACGCGACGGTGCAATCGCGTAAGAGAAAAACTCATATACAGAAGCTTCGATGATACGCTTCACGGATTGGGTTTAAATAATGAATTAAAGATTTGCTGTAAATTATATATACAGGGTCATCCATATTTAGCGTTACAACTTTGAGTGGTTGGAACTATGAAATGAAACACAATTGTGAATGTTTGAAAATATATTTATGTAGGCAGAGGTTCAGAGATACAATTCCCACAATTTCATTCAATATGTCCACCATCTGCATCAATAACGAGTAGACGCCTAGAGAAAGCCTTACAGGAGTCACGAATGACACTCTGCGGGATTTTGGCCCACTCCTTCAGCAGTTTTTAAACCTCTAGGGCGTCCAAACTGCCATAGTGAACGGTTGAGACCTTGCTCTCAAGGTATGACCAGATCCCAAAATCCAGAGGATTCAGGTCGGGTGACGATGGGGGGCCATTCATCTTTGGTAATGAAGTGGGGAACATTTTTGGACAGCCACTCCTGCGTCGATTTTGCCTAATGGGATGGTGCTGAGTCCTGCTGGAACGACCAGGGGCGTTTTTTGAAGTGCTTTCGTGCCCAGGGCAACAATACACCAACAAGGATAGCATCTCAATAGTTCTACTGATTCAATTTCACCCCTTTATCAACAAAAAGAGGGGACTCCTTGAGGACTCTGTTACGGCTGCATAGACCATCACTGAGGTCGGGCAATGCTTCCTAGTCACCACATGGGATCCTTCGTCCCATTCTTTGACCAAATTAGATCATTTTGGGAGTTGAAGTGGTGTTCAACATTGAATATCTTCTCATCACTGAAAACGAGGTTTGACAGCGTGCCATCATGAATTCGGGAAAGAAGAATCTTGGATCTTTGGAGGCGTTTGTCAACAACTTGAGCAGACAGTTGGTGTTTTTTGACATGCTTGAATGGGGAAAACTTTAGGTCCTTCCGGAGAACAGTCGGCATTTTGAAAAAAAAAAAACAATGTAACGCTAAATATTGATGACCCTGTATGTGTGATATAATGCACTGACAGTCATTCTATAAAAGTGATTCTTTCTCTACCAATATATATCTCACTTTTTCTCTGGAATATTGTTGCCTTATTTTATATATTCGAAGTATTTTTTCGATATCGAGAGGTATATTTAAACGCTAATTGTATTCAGGTTCTTTCGGTAATAATTATTATTTTATCGAAGAGTCCAGTTAATGATCAATTTGAGTCTCCTGTACCATCGGATTCTCATCAGAGTTAATATTTGTTCTCGATTTTGGATTGCGCAAAGCCCTTATCGAATAAGCAATTCTGAAGCCTCACATAAAACCGTTCGTCAACAGACAACAGATCTTCTTATTCAAACATTACTTCTTCCAGCAATAATTTACCGAGGACAGTTATGGCGAGGACAAGGAATCTCCTTTGCTACGAGAAATATCAACTTTGTGGGTACTTACTTTACTTGAGCATGCGAGTTTTTGATAGGCTAGAATTAGCGTTAAAATCTTGGAATAATTTTTTTATAAATCTGGTAACTTACAAGATCGGACTTCGAGTGAAAATTATAAAATGATCAGTGAATAAATTATTTAAAATGTAGGCGTTAGATTTAACTGAATCAGTACATTGAATGAGCAGAAGTATGACAATCCCTATTTAGGAGGAAATTTTTCCTTTTCCGGTTTCCGGTGTCGCTCTTTTGGTTCTCACAAGTGTGGCGTAATTCAATCGACTTGATTGAATTATCCGTCCGTCAAGATTTAATACCTCCAGAATGGTAAATTGGGGAAAATTGTATGTTCTATAGTATTTTAATTGATCATCACTTATTTGCTCTCCGATGTTCAGCCATGGTATCGTTACCCAATGACGCTAAATTTTGAACGTTGAAGACTTTATATAGGTGCAAGGTGCCAGTGCTTGCAGGAATGATATATTTATATCAGTTGAATGAAATAGGCGTTGAATCAGTCAACTTCGATGCTGTGTTCAAAAACCATGAAAACTGTGCGAAACATGTTTCGAGCCGGTAAATTTAAAGTAAGTACTAGTGAATACCGCAAAAAATCATGAATGGTCCCATTAATCTACTTCAAACATAATTCACTTCTTAAAACACACAAATAACATCACTAATTGTCACATTATTTCTACTTTGTTAATGACAGAGGTGGAGAGAAATAATTTGGTGTTTTAGGTACTTTAATCAAAAGTTATTCATCTCTAATGGTTTTGATGAATGTGAAGCGTTAAGACAAAGATTATCATTAGATTATTGTTAGCTCACTGCAAACTTCAAATGAAATTTGTTGTGTCCTAATAATCTCTCTTTCACTTAATAATTTACTAAAGTAAAGTAAAGAGAGAGTAAAGTAATAATAATTATTTTACTCCCTTTTTTACTCAATAATTTACTGAATTAAAGTAAAGAGAGAGTAAAGTCATATTAGATACTTTACTCTTTATTTTACTTAATAATTTACTAGGTAAAGTATAGGGAAAGTAAAGTAATGATAATTACTTCTCTCCCTCTTTCACTTAATAATTTACTAAGGTATAATATACTAAAGTAAAGGAAAGAGAGAGTAAAGTATTAATAATTACTTTACTCCCTCTTTTACTTAATAATATACTAAGGTTTAATTTATAATTTAATAAATTGATGTCAGCAAAGCAACCAACCTGACAACAACCCTAATCTTTTTACTCAATAATATCCCTGATGTCAGCAAAGCAACCAACCTGACAACAGCCCTGTAGTCCCCGACAAGAAGTTACAAGGCTGCAGGGAACGCTTAGATCCACTTGATCCTTCGACAGCAACTGACTTGACAAAACTGAAGAACCCACAACTTGATCTTAGTCATCCTGTCATGGTGAATCTATTTTAAGCAGTTGTTTGTTGCTGGCGTGCGTCCGAACCTAGAGTTTGGAAATGCCGTGTTGTCACCAAAGCTAGAAAAGGATAAAAATTTAGTCGAGAGTGTTCAAAGACAGGCAACAAGGATAATTCCGGGATTAATAGGCAAGCCTTATCAAGAAAGGTTAAAGATTTAGAAGCCTCAGTTATCGACGTCTGCGTGGGGACCTCATTGAAGTATACAAGTATACTCATGGCTTATACAAGGTCCCAGAACTGTCTCTTATACACATCTAGATGTGTATAAGAGACAGACAGCCCGGCAGACCACAAGTCAACATGATGCACATAACAGCCCTGCAGACCACGCGTCAACATGATGCACATAACAGCCCTGCAGACCACACGTCAACATGATGCACATAACAGCCCTGCAGACCACAAGTCAACATGATGCACATAACAGCCCTGCAGACCACGCGTCAACATGATGCACATAACAGCCCTGCAGACCACACGTCAACATGATGCACATAACAGCCCTGCAG